CAATGAATTTCCCTTTTAGGATTGCTTTCCCAATGTCCAACAAATTTTGGATTGGTGTATCCTCATTTTCATTTGTTTCAAGGTATCTTGTGATTTCTTCCTTGATCTGTTTGTTGACCTATTGATTGTTTAATAACATGTTCTTCAGATCCCATGTCTTTGCATGTTTTTCAGTGTTCTTCTAGTGACTTATTTTTAGTGTCATAGAATCATGGGCAGAGCATCTTCTGATGCAGGACATGAGTTCAATCTTCTTAAATTTATTGAGAAGAAATACAAAGAATATGACAAAGAAATACAACAGATTGTAAGAACATATTATGAACAACTTATGCTAACAACCTGGATAAACTGGACGAGATGGATAAATCCCTAGAAACATACAATCTTCCAAAACTAAACCAGGAAGAATAAAAGAATCTGAATACACATATTGCACCTAGTGAAATTAAAGCAGTAATAAAAAAACCCACAACAAACAAAGCCCTGGACTGGATGGCCTCACAGGTGCATTTTACCAAACAGTTCAAGAAGTAATACCTCCTTTTCTCAAACTGTTTCATAAAATTCAAGAGGAGGGAAGTTTCCCAAACTTATTTTATAAGGCCAGTATTCTCCTACTTCCAAAGCCAGATGAAGACATTACAAAGAAAGAAAATTATACTCCAATATCCCTGAAGAACAGAGATGCCAAAATCCTCAACAAAATATTAGCTAACAGAATACAGCAATGCATCAGAAAGATCATACACCATGATCAACTGGAATTTTTATTCCAGGAACACAAGGTTGGTACAACATTCACAAATCAATAAATGTGATTCACCACATAAACCAAACGAAGGATAAAAAACACATGATCATTTCAATAGATGCAGAAAAAGTATTTCATAAAATCCAGCACCCGTTTATTATAAATACTCTCAGCAAAGTAGGATTAGAGGGAACATACCTAAACATAATAAAGGCCAAATACGGCAAACCCACTGCCAGCATCATACTCAATGGATTAAAACTATAAGTATTCCCCTTATGGTAGGGAACAAGAAGATTGGATGTCCACTTTCACCTCTCTTATTCAACATAGTACTGAAAGTTCTAGCCGCAGCAGTCTCACAAGAAGAAGAAATAAAAGGCATCCAAATTGGAAAGCAGTAAGTAAAATTGTCATTATTTGCAGATGACATAATACTATACCTAGAGAACTCCAAAGATGCCACCAAGAAAATGCTAAAACTGATACATGAATTCAGCGAGAAAGCAGGATACAAAATGACTACCCAGAAATCAGTTGTATTTTTATATGCCAATAATGAACTATCAGAAGTGGAAATTACAAGAATAATACCATATACAATTGCCACACAAAAAAATGAAATACCTAGAAATAAACCTAACCAAATATGTAAAAGACCTGTCCTCAGAAAATTATAAGACACTGGAGTAAGAAATAGATACAAATAAGCAGAAGCACATATCATGTTCATGGATAGAAAGAGTTAACATCATTAAAATGTCCATCATACTCAAAGCATTGTATAGATTCAATGCAATTCTTATCAAGATTTCAATGATGTATTTCACATAACGAGAACAGATATTTCAGCAATTTATATGGAACCACAAAAGGCCATGCAAGGGAACAAGAATCTAAGAAAAAAATAAGGTTGGAGGAATCATGCTACCTCATATGAAATTATACTATAAGAACATAGTAAACAAAACAGCATGGCACTGACATAAAAACACATAGATCAACGGAACAAAATAGAGAGCCCAGAAATAAACCCACTTCTTTATAGTCAATTAATATTTGACCGAGGAAGTAAGTACAAACAATGGGCTATATATGGTTTAATCAATAAATGTTGTTGGGAAAATTGGACAGATATATGCACAAAAATGAAAACAGACCACCTTCTTACATCATACACAAAAATAAAATCAATATGGACCACATACTTAACTGTTAGAGCTGAAACAATAAAAATCATAAGATAAAACAGAGGCAGAAAAATTTCAGACATTGCTCATAGCAATATTTTATTGGCTGTATCTCCTCGGGAAAAGGAAACAAAAGAAAAAATTAAAAAATGAGACTATGTCAAAGTAAAAATTTTTGCGTAGCAAAGGAAATAATCAACAAAATAAAAAAAAAACAACCCACAGAATGTGAAAATGGATCCACCAAAAAATCTGATAAGAAGTTAATATCCACAATTTATATAGAACTTACAAAACTCAACGACCAAAAATTAAACAACCCAATTAAAAAATGGGCAAAGGACCTGAATAGACACATCTCCAAAAGGACACACAGATAGCCAACAGACATATAAAAACATGCTCACCGTCACTAATCATCACTAATCATCAGAGATATGCGAATTAATGCCATAGTGAGATTATTGTCTCACACCTGTCAGAATGTCTATGATCTATAACTCAACAAACAAGTGTTGGTGAGGATGTGGAAAAAGAGAAACCCTTTGCACTGTCGTTGGGAATGCAGACTGGTGCAGCCACTGGGGAAAGCAGTATAGAGATACCTTAAAAAATTAAAAATGGTCCTGCTTTTTAACCTAGCTTTCCCACTTCTGGGAATATATTCAAAAGAACCCCAAAAAACTAATTTGAAAGAACATAAGCACCCATGTGTTCATTTCAGCACTATTTACATTAGGCAACGTAATGAAGCAGACCAAGTGTCCATCAGTAGATGGGTGGTGGATAAGATAATTATGGGACATTTACACGATAGAATTCTACTCAGCCATAAAGAATAAGAAAATTTTTACCCTTTGTGACAGCATACATGGACCTGAGAACATTATGGTAAGTGAACAGATGAAGAGCAGGATGGTATCTAGTTGGGGGAGGTGAGGGAATGAAGGGATTGAGCAGAAAGGTAAGAGGACTCACGAACATGGACAACAGTGGGGTGATTGCTAAGGGGAGGGAGTATAAGGGGACTAAGTGGTCATGGAAGAAATACAATAAAGATTAAATAAAAATAGGTGTGCTTTAATAGATATAGTCCTTAGCAAACAAAAACTTGTTGATTATATTCACAATTAGTATGGGAGAAATTTTTGTATGTAGTTTTGGGTAGCCTGGTGTGTAAATTGGAGAATAAAATACCAGGCCCTCAGCTACCTGATGACTTCGTACTAATAAAATAACTGAATACAATGAATCTCTTGTTTTTGGTATATAATAAAGAAGCATGTCTTAAATAAAGAATGAAAGCTACCTTTGAGAAGATACACTTCAGGAATTTTACAATAGACAGGAAAATAATGAAAGCATGAGTTAGAAATAGAAAGGTATGATTAATAAGGGCTTACAGACAAGAAAATCTTATTTGAGTTATCTTGTCTAAAGAAATGTGCTAAATGGACATGAAAGTATTTACCTAAAGTTTTCTATATAATTGCTTTTTGACAATTTTAAACATTTTTACAGAACCGTATCTCCTTTGAGACTCGCCAAATGTGCTGTAACGATACCTATGATTTTCTGTTAAGAAAAACATTAAAGCAAGATACACTGTTTGTCTGGGTTTCTAGAAAATTATAAATATTATTCATTTTTTACAAATGTTATTTTCCATTTGCATATATGAAATAATTGTTTACTACCAAAGATATATGCCCTCTTGAATATGCTCTGATGAGAGGAAATAGGCAAAGAAGGGTGATAGAGGTGGGAATGCAGTCTTTCTTTTTATTTTATTTTATTTTATTTTTTAATTTTTATTTAGTTATTTTTCAAGTACATTTTTTGTCTATTTCTCCCACCCCACCCCCCCCGCCCTGTCTCCCCCCTCTCTCCCCTTCCCCCCCCCCCCCACCAGTTCTCATCCCTGTGTCTTTCATACTTGTTCCTCAAAATCCCTCCCCATTTTTCCCCTTAAATTCCCTTCTCTCTCCCCTCTGGTCGCTGCCCACTGAATGGATCAAAAAATTGTGGTACATATACACAATGGAATTCTATGCAGCAGAGAGAAAGAAGGAGCTACTACCCTTTGCAACAACATGGATGGAACTGGAATGCAGTCTTTCAAAAGATAAATTTAAGTGGACAGGGAATCACCTGAGTTAGTATGCTGTTTAAAATGATATAATGAATTGAATAAATAGAAAGTATATTTTAGATAAGTTGATTTCATCTTTTTTTCTGCTGTTAATGCTAGAAAATCAAAGCTACTTGTATTTTAGAAATCTTTAACTTTCACATAAATTGATTTAAACTAATGAAAGGTATTTAAAGGAAGTTTGTCTTTAATACTGAGAAAATAAAAGCAATCTATCAGCTTGTTACAATTTTCACGTCTATGGAAATGCCAGTCCATCATATCATTCATTCACTACTCTTTTCTTTATGTTTCAATTCAGTCTATGCTTGGACTTTAATATGAGTAGTTATGAAAAATGACAATTATGAAAATCCATGGAGTGTAGTCAAACATATGATGATGTTTAACTGATTCCTAAGTAACTCGTGTGAATTCTGATGAGAGAGCACCCATTTACTTTTGCACTTATTTATCTTACTAGGTTCTAGAGTATAAAAAGGCAGGAACCTACTCTTGTACTGGACAAAGACAGCTCAAGAGGAAAGAGTGAAGTGACAACCACACTTCTGTGAATGTAAAGTACGTTCATTTTCACAGCACAGGGTGGAAGAATTAAAATTGCCATAAGATATTTTATAGATTCAGCATATACTGAAAGTCAACTAGGCAAATTTAAAAATGAAAACGACCTAAGATTGTATGGCTAAATAAACAAACATCTTTAAATACCGCACTTTGACCTTTTCTTCTCTGAATTTAGTGTCAGGCTGACTGTGGTAGAGTTACCATGTTATAAAAAAGAAAGCACTTACTGGATTCTTATGAGTTACTTCACAAATCGGACTTCAATGTGAGATTTGATAACATGCAAAACACTGAAAATACAATGATACTGAAAATCACTCTGTAATTTGGCTGTTACCTTATCGCCTTCAGAGAATGTAATTCCATCCACGGCTCTTTTCCAAGAGATTTCTGGTATCGGCTCCCCTTCTGCGTCGCATGTGAGCGTGACTTGACCATTCTCATATGTAGTTTCATTTTTAAGCTGTATTATGTGAGGCTGTACTGTAAAGAATATATACATCACTCAATCTGCATTGGAGGGAAAGCCATGATGGGCACTGAAGTCCACATTAGTGCAGCAGGGAATGGTTAACCTTATAGCAGCTACAGCAGCATGCCTTGCTTCGGAGCACCGCCAAGAGTGATGGGAACAGGTAAAAAAGTTTCAGCCCTGGCTGGTGTAGCTCAGTGGACTGAGCGCGGGCCTGCAAACCAGAGTATTGCGGTTCGATTCCCAGTCAGGGCACATGCCTGGGTTGCAGGCCAATTCCCAGCACCGGACACACGAGAGGCAACCATACATTGATATTTCTCTCCCTACCTCCTTCCCCTCTAAAGATAAATAAATAAAATTCAAAAAAAGTTTCAGAAGCAATTCTCGTGGATCATCATTATAAAATAATTTGAAGTGCCTTACAAGCCTAAAAATTATAATCCCCTCCAAAATTCCTCCAGTTAAAGAGACGCTGTATTATGTATTTTTATTTTTAAGAAATATATATAAGGAAGGGGGGGGGAGAAAGGCGTATTATTCTTCTTTTAAACCACAAATTAAAATTTCCTCTTTTGAAGCCACATGTGTAAGTGTGTGGGGAGGATGGCAGCCACCTAATGAGTGATTATCTCTTAAGCTCGTAAGACAATTTCATCAAAGAGAAAAAATGATGGCTGTGCCCTGAGTATGTAGTATGTATAGTTATGCACAATACTAAAAATATATGAAGCATAGGTACACAAATGCTATTTATTTTTATTGCCCTAGGTGATTTATTTTGACCTCAGTTTATCTTAACAATATTATTAGGCAATGCAGCTAAGTATTTATAATCATGACTTCTTCGAGAAGGAAAAACATTATGTCTACTAATTTAAATTTTCTTCTTTGCTTTTTTAAAATAGGTTTTATTGATTATGCTATTACAGTTGCTCCATTCCACTTGCCATATTCCCTTTTGTCCTGTACCCACCTCCCACCTGTATTTCCTCACTTACTTCAGGTTCATGGGGCATACATGGAAGTTCTTTGGCTTCTTTATGTCCTACACTATTCTTAAACTCCCCTGTCTGTTTTTTACTCACCATTTATGCTTCTTAAAAACAAAGGCAAAAACAAAAACAAACTAAGCAAACAACCAGAACAGGAACAGAATCACAGAATTGGAGATCACATGGAGGGTGATCAAGGGGCATAGGGAACAGAGAGAATGGGGGGGAAGGTACAGGGAATAAGCATAAATCATCTTAATATTAAAAATTATGGCCATCCACAAATTCACATAGCACCATAGACATTCATGTTTGTAACTCTAAATCCTCTGCACTTATTAAATTTTTACTTATTAGGACATTAAAGGGATAACATCCAGTACTCGTTATTTAAAGACAAGTAACAGGTACTTTTAAATCAAGTACAGTTGATCATGGGATATAAATAAATTGTTTTTAATTTTAGAAAATTAGATTTCTGATATCAGACATATAGTATACATAATGTTTAACAATTCAGTGTTTACTCCATTGACTTAATGAATTTAGTTACATTTTTGACGTGTATATTCATGATTTTGTGTTAAAATAATACCAACTTGTTCAGTGTTACTACACAAAAGTGATTACAACAGTAACGTATCATATATTTGATGCATTATTTTCTATTTTATAAGATAAAATTATTGAAGATTTGTTTACATCCATTCTCACTCAAGGCCACCCTATTAAATAATAAGAAACTGAACAGTATTTAATATGAGCCCATTTTGGTAGGGAGAACAGTACCCTTTGGAACGATCTCAGAGACTATAATTTAATTAATTAATTTGTCATAGTGAGCTACATTTATTTAATGTGGTAGGCTTTTTTCAATCCTCACCCAAGGACTTGTTCACTGATTTTTAGAGAGAGGAAGGGGTGAAGAGAAGGAGGGGAAGAGAGAGAGAGGGAGAAAGGGAGAAGAGAGAGACACGTTGATCGTTTGCCTCTCCTATGTGCCCCCCCACAGGATGGAACCTGCGACCTAGGTGTTCCTGACCCACGATCGAATCCACAGTCTTTTGGTGTATGGGACGATGCTCAGTCAACCAAGACACCTGGTCATGGCTCTTATTGTTGGTTTTAAAGAGAACATTTTTAAGTGTGGAATCGTGCTGAAACAATAATTGACTTTCTATAGTGTCTAAGAATTTTAAGTGTGTTTGTTCTTCCTTCTATGTGAACAATTTTCTCCTTCCTCTTAGCTTTGCTGACAGCTCATCATTAAATATTCTGTGTACACACGTCTAATCATTACCATTTTGAATAACTTTCCAATACCATGCTGTCCAAAATAATAGTTTTTTTTTACCCAGCACTACCACATTTATCCATTTTCACATTCTTAAGAGTATTTTATTATTCCATTTACTGAATTATTTTCATATACTTTGATATAGTTTTGTCTGTCTCACTCCACCAGAATATGTGCTTTATGCAAACTTCTCTGCTCAGGAAATATTTCTATTACGTGATCACAGGCCCAGCTGACAGAGGATGCGCCCACGTGTATGGCCACTCAGCATTGGTCTGTGGCCCTTGGACCACTGCGTCTTCCAGAGACCAACACTGGTCCTTCTTACAGTTACACAGCCCTCCCTCCCTCCCGTTCCATCTCTTCTGTAAAAGCATTTTGTCAACGATGTTTTTAAACATGGGGGAAATATACTGAATATTAGTACTGCATATGATTTTTAGTGTTATGCTTTTTAAAGAGAATACTCATATTCTAAATATTCCCTCAGCAAAAACTGTTTTTCTTCTTGAAAACATAATGAAAGCTAAATAAGTAATTTATTTTAAAAAAACATGCTAGTCCTCTCCTCTCTATAAGATTAGCAAAGAAAGCAATATGGCTTTTAGTAATTATAGAAGACTTATATTATGTTTCCCTTTAATGAAATGGGAATATTTAATTATAGCTGCAAGTCAATGTTTCCTAATTACAGCCTTGTAGGTGTACTCTTTTAAGTGTAATGAAAGTGAAGCTGATCCTAACATATTTCATTTAAAGATTTATGAAGATCAACCCATAACTATATGAGATCCCAGTAGTGTAATTTAAATAAATTTTCTTCAAGCCCCTGTTATAAGTCAGCCAATATTTTAGAGAAACTTGAACATATAATTTCATGTAATTCTTAAAACAATTACATCTGGTAGCTGCAATTTTAAAATATATTTTAGAAATGAGAAAACTGAGATTTACTTATGAACTGTTTAATTTAATTTAAACACTGCATAACATTGACAGAGGAGGATTTGACCCTGGCCACCCTTTAGACCTCAGTCTTAACCACTAAGATATAATACTTACCAAAGACTTGGAGGAAGGCCTGTTTTTCATCTTCTCCTGCCTTATTTGAGGCCCTGCAGACATAATGGCCCCCATCACTATTGATTATGTTTCTGACAGTGAGTTCTGTATTGCTTCCTTTCAATATGTATTTTTCATTGTCTTCAATGAGCTTGCCATTCCTAAAACAAACAAACACAAACAAAAAATAAAACAAGCAAAAAATCCCAGAGGCTGATCCTCATGACTTTGACTTCATGACTCAGGAGAAAATGATAATCAACTTTCTGATCTGTAGGTGTCCATCATTTCATGGAGATTGACAGACGAGGTTGTATTTTTTTTATATCAGCCAGAAACTGGCTTAGAGACATTAGATCAACATGTTCAGCGAGGCTGTATTTTTATCAAAAGTATAGTTCTAGTAGCCCAGCAAAACTCAATGCAAAAATATTAAAGTTATACCTGACAATAGCTTGACTTTAGAGACAATAACATTTGAATTATGTTGAAATAATTGATACTAACTTTAGGCAAAACAACACATTGGTTCAATCTGTACCATGATTATTACACCAAAAAAAGATTTATTATTATTAATTCATATACAGATATGAATTAATGAATAAAAGATTTATTATTTTAATTCATATACATTTTGATGTTGGTAAGTCAACATCTGTTTATGAAAGCTTTATTCATTAGGTTCCTGGGACACATTTAATAGAATTTCTATGGAAACATCTTTAGAGGAGTTTAAAAGTTAATGCAATTTAAATACAAAACCAATGTATTTTGGAAATAAGTACTGCCAATAAATGGTAAGGTGAAAGAATTATACAAAAATACAGCAAAATAAGTTATGATTAACATGATGGTTTAATTCAATAATGAGGAGAAATCATTTTTTTAAAGTTCCTTGTCAGATTTTTTAAAAGTACTTTTTAATACTTTCCATGTTCCTTCTGGGTCAAAGCCATGTTCATTACGCCCTACTTCTAACCTTTGTTGTACATTAAGACAAAGTCTTTCACACTTTTTTGTAATGACTGCAGTAGAAAATATTTTAAATATATTTAAATCTGAAATACTTTCTGGAACTCCCCTTAATATGTGTGAAACTTTCTTATATGTCGTATTCTCTTTCATTCCATTTTATTCTCCACATCTCCCTTTCTTCTTTCTGCTTTTCTTTCTTCTATGTATCACTCCTTCTATTTTTTCCTTATAGGAGTGTTTTTGAAGATTGGGTTGACTTTAAAGTCCACTAATGTACAGAGCTTAGGATCTGTTTTTAGGGCTGCTGAGACCTACTTCCAATACATGTATAAGTTTAAAAAATATTTTTAAATATTGAAAAATATGTGCTCTGTTGAAATAGAACATTTCTTTGACATACCAAATGATCATTCCAATGAATTTTGGTTCTGATTGCTAGGAAGCCCAGGCATCTATCTTAATATAATCCCTATCCTTCTATAATTCAATGTTTTTTCCATTTCAACTGACATCTCTACATAGATCTTGAAATGTGAAAAATATCGTAAGAACAGAGTGAAAATTAGGGTTTATAAACCAAGAAGAAATTATATTAGTACTCTGTACTTTTATCTTTCTCATGTTTTTCCTGATCTAATATTTACAGTTATAAGAATGGCATTTCAGCACTTTTGGATAGAATTTCAGGTATTGATAGAGCTTTCAGTGAAGTTGGTGATTCAATATATTTCTTAATCTAGTCAATGAAAAATATGCACTTAATGCTACCACTGATATAATAATAATACAAAAGAAGTTTCATAACTTGTGAATTATACAACACTTTCCTTATATTATTCACCTGGCTGAATTCTTACACATACCTCGTATGTGCGTTTCCCTCCCCTACTCTTGTTCACAGATTATAACTAAAAAATTTAGAATGATTTCAACATTCCTCAATTCACACAGTTATAAAGCAGCAGATTAACTAAGTTCCAGTGTTTTCTTTTGTTGTTTTCTGATGAGGGTTATTTCCTTGGCTCATGTGATATATTGTACTAACTGTTTGATGTACAGCAAAGGAGTGAGATGTGCACTTATCATGAAGAATTCATTATATGACTGGCTGTAATGGAGGGTATTATAAATCCTATTAATGAGTTTATGCCTTTTTTGTGTTTTGTTTTCATGGGGGATGAGGAGAGATCTACTATGGTGGGGAAGAAGAGATAGATGGCTGGTGTACTCTGGGAATTTTTAAGGGAAAACGAAATCAATGATTTGAGCTCCCAGGAGCTCAATTTAGACCCCGTTTTAAACAAAACATTGCAATCTCTTCCTTTTTGTCTCCATGACTTGTTCAGGTGTGGTGGTAATATGGTAATATGGGTCTAAGTCAATTACTACAAAGGCATCCCCTGGCCACACTGATGGTGGAGATCCTTCCTGTGCTAGATGATGACAGTTGGTTGCCACCATCAGGACTCAAACTGCTGTGTTTCTGTGACCATGAGGGCAGCTGGCATGAGGAAAAAGCCAAAACACCTAAGAGGGCAAAGTTGAAAGAAGTGCAGGGTCATACACATGTAGTCCCAGTCTGACTGCATGTGAGCCCTGAGCAACCTGTGGACTTTCAGCTACTTGAGCCAATAAATCCACTCCATAGATGAAGGCCCCCCCAAAAAAGGAAAAGAAAGAAAAAGAAAAAAAGCTCAATTTAAAAATATCATTAAAGGATAACAAACCAGGCAATAATTCTCAATACCTCTCTGCCAATAAACCTGTTAGAATCACACATTGTTATTCCCACTTCATTTCTGTCGAATGCCATTGTATGAAAAACTCCCAAAGGATTTGAATGGCATTCCATGAGCCCATCCTTTGCAACTCACGCCATTTCTCTAAGTGTCTCTTCTCCATGTACATAGGGGTTAAGGTTAATGAATTAATGGAAATGATAAAGAAGGGGAAACAATTCCACTTTTTACTTTAATGTAGTAACAGGGATATATGTACCCACACATTTCAAAAAATAAAACCCTGTACACACATATTAAGTAACAGTTACAAACATCGGTCAATCAGTGGTACAAAACAGCGAACTCTGAGGATCCTCACAGCCTCTACCTGATGACAATCAGCAGGCTACAGCTGATAGAAGGAGCACCTAGACAGAGCCAGGCAGTGTGTCTGAGTTGGAAGCCAGAGTTCTTGGTTGGGTGAGACAAACAAATCAATAAAAAAACAAACAAATAAAAATAAACAGAAGCAGACAGACACATGCAGAGAACAAACTGATACTTGCCAGAGAAGACAGAGTTTGGGGGAATAGGTGAAAAAGGTGAGCAATCAAGAAATACAAGTTGTTTGTTACAAAAGAGCTGTGAGGATGTCAGGCTCAACACAGGGAAGATCAATGTATTGTACTAAGTTACGTGGTGCCAAGTGAGTACTTGAATTACTGGGGGATTACTTTGTAAATTACATAATCATCTTACCACTGTGTTGTATAGACCTGAAACTAATATAAAAGAATATCATTTCAACCGTAAATATGGTAAAATTAAAAAATAAAGTTTAGAAACTAAAAGTAAAAAATATAAAGTATACCCTTAAAATAAATGAATAATAAAAAAAGAAACATGCCTTCTAGACAGAATGATCAGGGCTCTCGGTGCACCTTTGACTTGGGTTATATCACTGTGTTAAGCTCTTTAAACGCTTAATCTAACCAAGGTGACTGAAAACAAACGCATGATACTTTTTAAAATAAAATTCAGAAAAAATGCTTTCCTTCCTGACAGAATGATAAGATTGCCAGTGTTTTTTTCATGAGTGTGACAAAGGCCAGAGACTGAAGGTTCGTGGGTACCTAACCCACCTGTACCAAGAGATGGTGGGCTCTGGGGAGCCAGAGGCCCTGCAGGACAGTGCCATGTCTTCTCCTCTCTCCGCTGTGGCGTTGAAGGACTTCTGAGGCATCATGATGGCTGGTGGCACTGAAACAGATGGACATAGATAAGCAGAGATGGAAAACCTTTCTCCAGTGCCACTGGGACATTTTTACCAATGCTTTCTGTTGTTATTGATGAGCTTTAAAACTTGACAGTCAACATCTGTACTTATCACTAGGACTGACTGTGTATTCAAATGACTTCAGATCACTAATTTACCTTCTGATGTTGAATAAAATAAATTAGATAATGCACTCTAGCACTATTTTACTATTTCAATCCATCAAAGTAGACTAAACAACAACACACCAAATAAACATTTTAGTGTGTGTGTGTATATGTGCATGTATGTGTTTGTGTGATATATAGGTATTTATATATGTGTGTCTATGTATTTATGTATATATATTCTTTTTATAAAATACTGCTCACAAGAAGACAGAGTATTGCACCCTGATGACTTACAGTGATACTGAGATCTACCAGGACCATAAACGAATTTCCTATTTGGATGTTCATCGGTATATGTAATTCTATAAGTAATCATTCACTACTTCAAAGACAGGGCTTTCAAATTAAGTGTCAAACTATAATGTTTTTCTGATTAACTGCATTTAATTTCTTTAAATAATTATAGAGCATTTGATAAAGAGAAATTGCTCAAGCCATAGTGAGTATGAAATAGATTTTCATGAACAATTCCATTTTAAAATTAAGCTTCCCCAATTTCTAACTAATTACATCACAAAACTGTAAATGCTGCACATTCTGACCATGCTGAAACTGTCACTGAAATGCACCATTTGCAATAAACAAATCAATAACATCCATAATAGAAGCTAAATTTCAGAGTACAACATAAATTTAGATTTAATGAACACATTTATGATTTTCAATTGCATATGACAAAATGATATTCTCCAAATTAATTATATTAATGCATTTAGTATTTTTTACATATACTAAACAACTTGGCAAGACAGGCATTTACCAGTGTGACTATAATTTAAAATCTCTACAATAGCATTCAGGGCAGTAATATCACCATTGATAGTGGGGAGAGAAACTGATATGTATCTTAGTAATTAATCATAATAAATCAAGTTCTGCCCTCACAAAAATAGATACAGTGAGCATGATCTGACATGGTGTTTTAAAGTAACACAATAATTACTATTACAGTAGGATGGACTAATTTTTAAATATTGCCTGAATTTGAAGTATTTTGAAATTTAACTTTCTGCATCCTGTTTACCTTTTCTTATAATTATGAGAAAAAACATTACAATAAAAATGTACTGCTTTTCATTTGGTTATTATAATGTAGTTGTAAGTCTACCATGACTATTTTTATTACAACAGTGAAGACTTTAACCCGTTAGATAATTATAATGAAAATAAACTCTTTAATAGAAATTCTCTCTACAGTAAAGCATTTGTGTAGATAGAAACACTTCCAAATGGAGAATTACATGCCCCGGTGGTTGTCCCATTACTATTACTTAGCTCAACAAGTTACTTATACTTTATTTAATAGTCTTCTTTTGTAGAAACTGCACTTGTATATACTGGATAATCTGTAAGAACTGACAAATCTTAATGTTTATGTTTTATGATACATTGACTCTGCTAATGAAATATGTGTTCTTACAGTATGGATTAGCAGAACAATATTAATAGTGTACATGTATGAAGTATTTTGAAGAAAAATTCTACAATTATTCTGAAGAATAATAGCATCTAAATTTGTGGAGATACTCAAAAGTTCAGTGGCCAAGACATTCAGGGAGATTTTTAGCCACTGTTTTGGGCTACAGAGTATTTTTACATATGTTTACCTCATCGGTTATAAATTTGCCATGTAGTTGGATTAAGTCATTTTAAAAAGGGTTACAATCATATTTCATTCAAATGTATTTTCTCTCCTAAGTCCCACATTTACTAGTATTTTAACTTTTTAAAAATACTTTTTTCTTGTTTGACTTTACCTGAAACATTCAGTTTTAATAACTTTACAAAGATTTTCATTCTGTGTATGTGAAGTAGTAAATCTTTCTGATAAATTTATGTTTTCATATTTTAGCTTCAGGAAACATGAGGATGTGTAGGGAAGGGAAGAAGTACCAGAACTCCCACTTATATGGAGGCCTTGGTACACTTTCACATGACAATTCACCTCATTGGTTGTGCAGGCACCAAGGAGACCATTAATTGGACAGCTTAATCCCTTTCATCAACATGGCACCAGCATTCCCCTATGTTTTCTTTGTTGTGAAGTGCAGTCTGCCCCTATCCACTGCTCTTCAGATATGTTTTTTCAAAAGAAGATGATACTATGAAATACCTATGCTGTTCAGATTAATGAGCTCCAAAAATTCTTCCAGATTTATATAGAATGAGAATAGAATCCCATCTCTACTACTGTCTAGAAAGTCACTCTTTAGCAATTAATTGATTATTCAGAGCTGGTCTAAATAAATATTAACAAATAAATTTACATGTAGATCTTCTCTTTGGCAGAGAACTTCTAAACACCATCTTAAGAGAACCTAAGACACCATCGTTTCTTGCTTACCTTTTCCTGTTTTGTCTTTTCAGTGTGTGTGACCCTTAGAAATTAACATAAGGGGAATTTTAGAAAGTGGCAGAGTAGGAAGTACTAGGTACGCATACATTTCCCACCTAAACAACAATTACACTGGCAGAATCTGTCTCATATAATTACTCTGGAGCCTATTGAAGGCTTGTAGCTCCCAGCAAAAGGAATGCAAAGTAAATTACGAGCAATGTCTCAAAGAGTTGTGTTTGTACATCCTTGTCACATAGAAATAGTGAGAACAGCTCACATTTCCATCAATGATAAGCAAATGCATTACATGCATGACGTGGAATATTATTCATCCTTAAAAAGAAAGGGAATTCTGACATATACCACAGCATAGATGAACCTTGAGGACACTGTGATAATGAAACAAAACCCAGAGTCTCAAAACATGACATTCAAAATCTACAATATAATCTAACATTTCTGTCTATGAAAATAACAGAATATGTCATGTTATTTGGAATGCCAGTGGCATTTTGACGCATGTTGGGTTATCTAAAAACTATTTTAAAGAGACTATTTTAAAACTTTTCAAAAGAGTTAAGAGTGAATAATCTAGAAATTAGTGAAAAGATAGTCTCTGCAAAAACATGCAATGTATTCAAAAATAAATAAATAGTATAACTAAAGTTTTACTTACAAAAGTACTCAAACTGAAAAAAGAACAAAATTTGCCGATTTAAATTAAAAGCAAAAGGGTCTAATTTCATTAATAAGAAGATATATACTGTTAAAATGTATAAAAGTAAGTAGCCAAATTCAATGTTTGTCTATTGAACGGTCATTTAAAATTTGATAATATAGATAAATAAAGGTAAAAACCAAAATATAATGGGATATATATATACCATCCCATTACTAATTATAAGATGTACAGTGAAATGGAGACAACTGTACTTAAACAATAGAAAATTATAGTTAAAAATTAATGTCCATGACAGCAGATTTCAGGGGGAATAACAATACATAATATCAAGTGAAGGAGTAAATAATAGTAAAAAAGCCACTTTTCCAGAAATAAATAACAATCCTACATATGCATTCACCTCACAAATGAGGTTCAAAATATGTGAAGCAAAATTGAGAGCCCAGAAAAGAGACCTAGGCAGATTCAAAAATTACTCTGTGATTTTGAAGCTTAAGAAATGAGAAAAAAAGACAAAATAAATCCATATTAATCATGAGGAAAAATAATAAAATTACAAATAGATACAATGAAAGAAAATACAGGGGAAAATGAATAGAGTATATAAAGAAACCAACAAAGATTCTTTGAAACGATAATACAATTAATAAACCTTTAGTAAGATACATTATGAAAAAAAAAGAGTAACACAGATTACCAGTATCAGGAATCAAAGAAGGAATTTAACTGTAGATTTCACACGCATTAAAAGGATAAGAAAAGAAATGATGCAGTCAGATTTTGCATACAAATGCACCAAGGCTGAAGACTTAGACCACTTCCCTGAAAACAACAAACTTCAGGCAGCTCTCTCTAGATAAAATAGTTAACTCTAATATCCTGTTAACTGTTAATGGCGTTAAAAGCCTGAAAGAAAACCTCTAGAATCAGATGGTTTATCCAGTGAACTCTATCAAATGTGGAAAGAAATAGCATCTTTTGTACACAATCTCTTTAAAATTAAATTAAATTAAATAGAATATTTCTCAACTCTTGTATAAAGCCAGCATTAAACTGATAATTTTACCATAACATTTTTGTTGAAGAAAAACAGTCATCAGAAGTAAACTACTTGATTTTAAGGTGAATGTAAAGACACAGGGACTAAGGCAATATGACTGTGTTGCAGGGGCACATGCAAAGACAGTGGAGGGGAAAGGAGTTCCGAAAAAGACTCACAAACGCAACCAGATTTTACTTTACAAAGCCCATTGCAGACGCAGTAGTCTTTTAATAATAGTTCTTAAACAACTGAATATCCACCTGAACATACAGGAACCTGACCACAAAACTCACTCCTTCTACATCAATGAAGGTCAAAAGGATCAACAACATAACATTTATAAAACTTACAAGAAGCAAACATGAAAGAAAATCTTTGTGGCCCGAGGTTAGATGAAGAATTCTTGGGCCTGACCCGAGAATAACAAACCATAAAAGAAAAAGATTAATAGCTCTACTTCTTCACAATAAAAATGCTTTGCTTTCTGAATAACACTTTAAGTTAAGATAATGAAATACCTACTATAAGCAAGGATGCATGGAAATAATCACTATTAGTGAATAAATTGGTAAACTCTTTTTGGAAGGGAATTTGGCAGTACTCAATGAAATTGCAAATGAATATAAAAAAAAAGAATGAGACAGACCTACAAACCAAAAGAGAGAAGAAAAGAAAACAAAGGCAAAGACATGGGAACAAAAGTACTTACAAATAAGTACTTGAATGGGGAATTTAAACCAAAAGATATATTT